GAGGCTCCTGGCTTCTGATCGGCATAGTATCAGCTGTTGCGGCTCACTTGGGGAGTGAATCATGGGACGGAAGATCCTCTCTGTCTCTCCTCTCTGTATATCCGCCTTTCCAATAAAAAATAATAAAAATAAATCTTTAAAAAAAAAAGAACATAAGATCACTACAATGATATTTTTGCAGGAAATTCAGAACCTGAATCTAAACACATGGAAACATCAAACAAACTCAAACTAAATACAAAATAACTAACCTGAAATGTTCAAAAGTAATAAAGTCCACAAAAGTCAAAAAGAAACTAAGAATCTGATCAGACTAAAGGAGACTATTAAGATACTACAAATAAATTACCACAGGTGACTCAGCTTTGGATTCCCTAAAATAAAGGACAAAATCAAGACAACTAATGAAACTTCAGTGAATATTAGAGGTAATAAAGTATCAACACTAATTTCCTTATTTTGACAGTTGGGTTATAGTGATACAAGAAAAGGTATATAAGAGTTACAGGCAGCTGTAAGCAGCTGCTTAGGCTGCCTTGTACCTAGGGAAATGCTACACTGCTGGGAGAAAAGTGGCCAATAGCTGGTGGATATTCTGGGCCTGGTTAATGCCAAATCTGTGTTGATTATACCAGCATGCCAGCATAGCTGCTTTCTTTTTTAGATATGCAGGGAAGGTGGGGGACATCAGGCTGGGAAATACCACCTTTTCCCCCAGGCATGCTGCATGCCATTGGGCAGTAGGAGAGCTGCATACTACCCAGGGAAGAGAGTAGGGAAAATGTTGGAGCGGGGACCAATAAAGGCATGTTCTACAGAAGGTAATGAATTCTGGAGGCTTCCATGGGCCAGGTCACTGTACTCACAGGAAGGCAAGAAAGCTGAGGTTGGGTGGTTTAGAAGGAGGAAACTGGAGGATGAGTCTGGGTGAAACCAGGCACCCGCTCCCCTGGGATGTGGGTTAGGCTAAGCAGCATTGCCTGCTGCCTCCAGGCACATGCAAAAGCTGGGGCAGGGATGGGTAGGTTAGGCTTCAGCATTCTCCCACTGAATGTCAGAGTAGAGGGTGGGCCACATTAGGATGGGCTGCAACACCCACCAGAATGCAAGAAGACTGGATTTGGGGGCATTCTTTAGGAGATCTGTGGGCTCACATCTGTGGGACTGTAAGCACCCATGCACAAAAACTGAGAATGATGACAGCCCAGGCTAGGCTGGACCACAGAATTCACCTGACACACATAGGAGCCAGGGCTGGGAGAAGCACAGACTGGGTCAGGCTACAGCATCTGCTGCCACACGCAAAGGCCAAAGGTGAGGATAGACCATGCCAAGCAGGGTCATGGCACCCATTGGCACATGTGCGATGCACTCTGGGAGCAGGTCTGGTAGGGGAACTTGGGAAACTACCCTGCTGGGCCACAGCTGCCACTGGAGAGCACAAGAACTAAGGCTGGGGGCACGCCAGGCCAATGAGGCCAAGCAACGTTGAAGCACTTGTCAGCATTTATGTGGGCTGGGCTGGGCCAGGATGGGACAGGACACAGCACCTACTAGCATGTGCAAGAGCCAGAACAGGGTGTGGGCCAGGCCAGCCCAGGTTGCAACACCTACCAGAGAGCACTGGTTTGGCGCAGGGGGCGGGGAGGAAGGAAGGTGGGAAGAAGAGGGGGGTCATGCCAGGCTGGGTCGCAGCACATGCCAGCATGCACAAGATCTGGTGTTGGGAACGGGCCTGGCAGGGCAACTTTGGGAACTAGTGAGTCCAACAATGGGAGATGGGAGCATAGAAGACTAGTCAAGGCTATAGCACCATTGGCATATTTGCAGTCTGGGTCTGGGGGCAGTCAGACTGGGCTAGGCATTTTTGAGAGTCAGAGTGGGTTGGACAGGCTGGGTTAGGCCATGGCAAAGTCACATGTGAGCCAGGACTGGGGGTGGGTCACAGTGGGATGTAGCACCAGCCAGTAAAAGCTGGAATGGATACAGACTGGTTGAGCTAGGCTGCAGTACCCATTGGTGAGTGCCAGCACTGTGGGGCTGCCATGTCAGGCTGGGCTGCAACACCCACTTGCAGATCCAGACTGGGAGCAAGCCTGATAGGAGAACTTAGGAAACTGCCCCCCTGCCCAGACTTCAGCTCCCACCGGTCAGTACAAGAGTCAGGGTTGGGAGCAGGCATGGTAGGGGAACATAGGAGAGTCCCCTTTTGGGTAACTGCTTCCACTAGTGAACATAAGGGCTGAGTCTGGGGGTGGACCAGGCTGCACTAGGCTACCATACCCACTGAAGCACACATGAAAGCCAAAATGAGTACAGCCTGGCCAAGTTAAGTGCAACAACTGCTGGCAAGAGCCAGGACTGGATGCCAAGTTGTGTCAGGCTGGGCTATAGTATCCCTTGGAAAGAGCAAATCCAGGGCTGAAAGCAGACCTGGCAAAGAAGTGTGGGCACTCCCTTGCTGGGCTCCACCTCCTCTGGTGAACAAGAGCCAGGGCGGGGGGGGGGGGGGGGAGGGAGGATAAGCTCAACATGGCAGCAACACCCGTTGACATACATGTGAGCAGGGTCTTGGGCACCTCAGGCTGAGCTAAATGGTAGCATCCATGGAATGTACAAGAGCAGGACAGGACAAGCTAGGCCACACAGCACCTGCTGTCATGCATAGAAAAAATGGGACTAGCGTGAGGGCATGGCACTCGGTGGTGTGTGTGTGAGCACCAGGCCTGTGGCAGGCTAGACTGGGAAGATCACAGCACCCAATGGTTTACATAAGAGAACAGGCTGAGGGTGGAACTGGCTGAGCAGCTTCATCTATCAGTATGTGCGTTGGCTGGTGCAGGTGAAAGACCAAACCTGACCCTGCAATGGCTGGTGCACACAAGAGTCAAACTTGAGGACACCCTAGGTGAGTTTTCTTGAGAACTCCCCAACTGAATCTCTAGACTTAGAGAAAACTTGCAGAGAAACAGAACATGGTCACACTGTGTTTGAAGCTCACAATATGCCTAGACTTCAATTTTATAAGTTAACAAATTCTATATACTGGATTAAGAGCACAGGTTGGTTTCCTGTTAACTTCTAAAAGGAAAAGAAAAGACTAACAGACACTGGAGCTAAGTATCAGAATGATTTCTACTATGGGAAATAAACTCCACTCAAATAGCTTCTACAACAGTTTGCCAACATCTTTAACTTCATTAGAGGTCTTTGATCATTCAAGGATGAGCTAATTCAGTAATTTACTGACAAAGATTCATGCTAGTTCTGACCTTCTACAAGTGCATCATCAGTAAACTAGGTTATCTTCTAATTTTCAGGCTGATCTCAAGACAGCTGCAACTGTCCTAGATTTACAACACATGGGAGAGAGCTGTTTGTTTCATCTTATGCGCCCCTTTCTTTCTTATATGTGATATTTTAAAAGTTGTATTTATCTGACTTGAAAGAGTTAGAAAGGGAAAAGCAAACATATCTTCCATCTGCTGGTTCACTCCCCAAATGGCCACAATGGCCACTGCTGTGCTAGTCTGAGGCTGGGAGCCAGAGCTGCTCCCAAGTTTACCACATGGTGCAGGGCACAAGGACTTCAACCATCCTTTGCTGCACTACCAGGTACATTAGCAGGGAGTTGCACGAGATATGTAGCAGTCAGAACTTGGAATCAGACCCACATGAGATGCCAACAACAGAGGCAGAGGCTTAATGCAATGTCACGGTACTGGCCTTAACCCCTCTTTTCCTAAACAAGGAAAACTTTTCAGAAGCCTCCAAACACTGTTCCATCTTTTTCAGCACAAATTGCATCATGGTATAGGCACAAACAATTTTAAAAGGAGAAGCAAACCACAGTGATCAGCTCAAAAGTGGCACCAATGCCACTGAAATTTTTCTGAAACTTAATGGTGATTTGCTTGGCTGTCACAGAACTAGAAGTTGCCACTAGCACTTGCTACAGATGCCCAAATCCTACAAAGTATACATTTTACAAGAAAACACACCCTCTAAAATGTCAACAGAGATAACATGAATAAATACAATAAAGAAGTCAAAGAAAATGGTCAGTCAACAACACCAATGTCTTCTGCAGATGTTCATACTGAAAAAACACTATTCCTACTATAAATTGAATACAGTATCAAGTAATGTCACAGACAAGCAAAAACAATATTCTTGTTGCAGCTGCAACAAGAATAAACAGTTCAGATTGAGAAAGAAGGAAGAATATTTTATACTATCGTGGTGTTTTCATAATTTGCCACAGTCAATAAAAACAGAGGTAATATTTTAGTGCTTCCTTATGCTAGTACAGTAAAATAACACATGTTTAGGTGAGTCAGTAATGGAAATTGATGCTCAAAAACTGTTGTTTTTAACTCAAAAGGAAATCTTGGCATACGCGCACATTATAATCACAACAGCCTAAAAGAGACTTAACTTGTAACTTTGAAGTCTTCTATATTAAGACCAAAAAACTCTCAAAAACCTGGGCTCAGATTAGAAAACACCAACAATACAAAATATAAGTAATATTAAAGCATCCCCACTGAAGAGTCATTAAAAGTATCTAGCATATTTGTTCAATATACCTTCCTCCAATTTTTCCCAGTACTGATATTCATCACAGTACAAGCATTAATCATTAGTTTAAGAAGAAACTAAGTATCTTCCTACTATCCTCTACTAATACAAAACACTAATTCAGAACAGAGCTCCTAGATTACAATAATTGATAGTTGACCCTAAGGAAAAAACAAGTATGACCTTGAAGAAACCCACATAGGTCACTCACAAATCAGTCAGCTCACTATCAGTATGAAAAAGCAAAAAAAAAAAAAAAAATCAATTCTGAGTAACACAAATCTAGGGGTTCTGGAATTAACAGCACAACATTGTAACAGTATCATTATGGAAATCAAATTATTTCCTGAAGAAGCACAGAACAAAACTACCAAGGGAATGTAACTACATTCAATATGGAAATACGATGAAATACATACTGCTAAAGCCTTGGAAAGCTTCGCTCTAAATTCATTGAGGATGATTGCTACAATGTCCTTAAGAGGCACAAGTGCAAAGCCATCTTCCAAATAGACTTTTCTCCCTCGAAACAAATCCAGAGCATCAGCAAACGGGATCTGAATTCAAATGGAAACAAGAAAAACAGTCAGCACTTGTGATAATGACAATTTTTCACTGTCTTCATATGTAGCATGTCTAAACAACAAAGATAAAAGTATCAGTACTAGCAGATTCAAATAAAAAAATTTTTAAAAGACATTTTTACTTCTTAAAACTAAACAAAGGCATTAGGAAGGAGTAACAGCACAAAAAATAAAATTTCACTTCAGGATGTGAGGAGAACGTGCCCTGCTCCAATGTTGGTCAGTGTAGGCCAGTACAGCTACTATGGCAGTCAGTACAAAGAATGCTAACAGAACTGACCCAAGTATCCCACTTCTGGAGATATATCCAAAGGAAGTAAAATCTACATATCACCAAGTAACACATAACCCTTTATTTTTAGCAGCACAATCCACAGTAGCGAAGACATGGAAACAACCCAGACGCCTGTTGAAAGAGCAATGGATAAAGAAATTGTGGTGCATCTATTCCATGGAATACTATTCAGCCATTAAAAAGAATGAAAGTCTACCATTTGCAACAAAATGGTCCTAACTGGAGATCATGACGCTCAGTGAAATAAGCCAATAGCAAAAAAAACATGAATATCATGGCTTGTCTGATATAAGGTAATATCCACGTAAGATTCAAGATAAATAAATAAGTAAATGTGAATGTACATGTATTCATCTAGAGGAACTCTATAATGGAGATTAGTAAACCAGAAAGTGAAGATATGTTACAGTAAGTATCTCTAGTCTCAAATAAAAGGAGGACTTCCAATGAAACTGTTAAACAAATCTTGAAAACAAGATAACTAGACTTTCTACCATCGTCTGTACCTACAGTGCCATGATACACTTCAATAACAGAATGTCGAACTTGTGACTGTCACTGAAGACTACATTATTGTAGCAGTATGGGAGAGAATGATAGAAGGGAAGAGGAATAGGCGGGTGGAAGAAAGAATCCCTGTGCCTATGGAACTATATAATAAAAAAAATTAATCCAAACAAACCAAGCTAGAAAAATTTTAATTCTTAGTCCATGAATCTACAAAACACTAATCCACAGGATTTCAAACTCGTATCAACACCTTCCATACCACATTCACCTTCCATGAATTTTCCCACATTTTATTCTCCATCAAACAGAAACCTAATTTGTAGATAACATATTCAGCTCTGGATACTACTTGTAAATAAAGTATTTCCAAATATCCTTCATTTATCTTTCCTTTCTGTTTGTAGAGAAATATGTTATAAATGCTAACTCATCACAAAGACATGGAAATAGCATGCTTTCAGTTTTTGCAATTAAAATAAGCATTTGTCATAGGCATTCATTGTTTTAAAAAAAAATCCTACTGAAATATTTTTAACTCCTTTGAACTATCCTGAAATTGTAAGAGATGAGGAAAAAAAATGGTATCAGTAAACTGAACATGACCTTCACTCTCCAAAGTAACTTCAGTCCTTTCTAAAAACAAGATTTAAAAAAACAGATACAAAAAACATATCCCCTGATTCCCTATATTTCCAAGATGGAGTAAAGAGTGAACACAATACATCTACAATTCTTACATATCCAATAACACTTCGTACTAGCTTTTGATTAACTGTTTGTTGAGCACAACACTCCTTGCATTCAAAGACATCATCATTTAGTTGAAACCTGACACAGGAAATGAAAGAGCTCTACAGGACGCTACTGTGTGTAATTCCACACAAGAAAAGAAGTTCACATAGCACATTACTACAAGAGTGGCTTAATGAGTTCCAGTCCAAGCCCCTGCTACCAGCAAATCAAGACCTAAGATTCCATCAACTCAATAAAGGCTCCTAAATCTCGGTGGCCAGACCTGTAACACTAGGAGAAGAGAGGAAGAGATGCACTAAATGGCCCTCGTCAGTTCTTTCATTAAAATATCCCATGATCCTAGCTTATTAGGATGGTCACAAGGGAAATAAAAATGCCTAAGCAGAAGCAAAAGTTGTTGTGATAGCAGAATAATGGGAGATGTGTGGTATGGGAAGAATAAATATTAACTCCAACACTAAGCTTGAAATGCTAGCCAAGTGATAACCCAACATATAGAAGCAGAGAGACCAGACTTGGCAAATGAATGTTAAGGCAGTAAACTACTAGCATTCACAAATAATGATCACCATAGCATTTTCAAAGGCAACTGTAAGGTAGCAGTAATCAAATTGTTAACATTAATTTCAACCATCCTCTCTTCTTCTAGAGCTATTCATTCCAAAAACTTTAAATGGGTTTATACAAAGTAGACATCTGTGCTGAAAGGTGAGGGAAACCAAAGTGGCTCCCCAGAGATACTGGAATCTGAGCAGATGAAGGAAGAAGTGCCCACAGGCAAGCAAGCAGGTCATCAGGGACAGTGCCCAAGCAAAACCAGAGACACAATGTGCAGCAGCAGTCCATGGCATGATGTCAGAACACAAGAGCAGCAAAGAGGATGGCTTCCAAATAAGGCAGTGATTGCTGGGAGTGAGCTGGAGGGGATGACCCAGCACAGGATACACAAGTCAAACCAAAGCAAAGAGATCATGAAGAGAATGGCCTGCAAAGGAGGTCATTGCCAAGGCAGGGCTGGGAGGCTGTCAACAAGACAGACTGAGGGCACAGCCTTAGGGCAATAAGCGTGAGATCTGTATGAGATAGAACTGCTATAGTGATGAGAGCTATACATACAGGTTACTTAAATGCATACACAAAGCTCAACATGACATAGTTAAACCACAGGAAATATTGTAAGTGTTTACATACCTTATAAACTGACTCCAATTCCAATTGAGTCCCACTTAAACTTGGTGATGAGGCAATAATCTCCTGTTCTCGCTGAATCTTATCTTCATCACTTATCTAAAAGAAAACATTTTTTAAAGATTTAATTTATTTTTTTTATTGGAAAGCCAGATATACAAAGAAGATGATCCTCCGTCTGCTGATTCACTCCCCAAGCGGCTGCAATGGCTCGACCTGTGCCAATCTGAAGCCAGGAGCTCAGAGCCTCTTCCTGGTTTCCTTTAGGGTGCAGGGTCCGAAGGCTTTGAACTGTCCTTGATTGTTTTCCCAGACCACAACCAGGAAGCTGAATGGGAAGCAGAGCTGCCGGAATTAGAACTGGCGCCCATATGGGATCTTGGCGCGTGCAAGGCAAGGAATTTTAGCCATTAGGCTACCGCACACTGGGCTGCTGAAAGAAAACATTTTAAACTGTTCAGTAAATTAAAAGTTCTCATCCACTTTCAACAAAATAGCTTCCTGTTATGGTGAATATACTTATATAAAACACATTTAAAATCTTGGTATCTTCAAGCATTCCTAACATGATTACTAAATCACTATCAGTAGTGCAAGGGAAAGATGGAAGAAAATCTAAAGTCAACATACCGGCAAGCTTTTACTCTGCTCATTTCTGAAGAAATTTATGAAAAGAATGATAGCAGATAAACAAAGAAGGGAAACAGTAATAAAAATTCAGACACAATGACTATGAATAAACACAATCCCAATTCATTAATTACGTTAGCTTATTAAAATACTTATTTGAAGTTAAGAATATCTTGCCTCTAGCTACCTAAGATAACACCTAACTTAAAACATTATTTTTAGGGGGAGCAATTATCAACCTGAAATAACAGGTCTTAAAAAAGTCAAAACTGACACCTTTGAATAAACTCTTTAAGCCTTTACAAAGAAAAATAGACCCATGAATAAAGATGAAATATGACGATGACAAACTAATTTATCACCTGACATCCAAGTTTCCATCAATAGCTGCCTAAATAGTACTTGTATACCAATAATATGGAAGTAGTACATTAACTGTGAATATCAAAAATAATAAATGGCAAATAACATATTTTCTCCCTACTGAGAGTTAAACAGATTTAGAATATACAAGGTTGAAACAATTTTTGTGTGGGGCACATTATCAAAGATCTTAAAAGATGCAGAGATAACATTTTCAGATTAATCTTAGTAAATATCAGGTCAAGAATAAAAATAGAGACTGTTTTTTCATCACTGTGTTAGTCACAATAAAGAAAACACTGAATGTCTAAAAACATCTGGTTTAATGAACCGCAGAATAATCAGCCATTATAATAAAGCAACTACATTATTTATGTCAACTTCTTTACAGAAAACAAAGAAAATAAAAAATTAAAAAACAGCTTATTTAAAGTAAAGAAGGATACCAGAACTGGGCCCATACAAAACAGGATATGTGACAAGAGACCACAGCTCAAACGGCATGGGGTCATCAGAAAATCCCCAACCTTCAACTTTGTAAGGTGATCCCTTATTCAAATGCCCCACGCATATGGCAGAGCAAACTCAAATCTTCTCTGGATTAAAGTACCTTCATAGTATGTCTCAAAGCATTCCTACCAATAAATTTTCAAGTACAATCTCAAGCAAGTTCTATTTTATGACAAGGGCACACAATAAAACTATACTTAATGATCAAAACCTATAGAAAAAGACTCAAAGTATATTTCTACAAAGTAGCATAGTTATTACCTATATAAGACAAGCCCAATGATATCTACATAAATGAGAATTTTTTAAAAAAAAAGACCACGCTTTGTAAAAACTTCTAGAAAAAAAAGCTTCTAGAAACAGACAAAAATTCAAGGACAGAATTTTTAAAGCTCAATGGAATCATAAAAAAAAAAAAAAAGCTTTAAGTTCCAAAAAGCATGGACTAGGTAATTTAGACAGAACCATCTACTAACAGAAAAGTTGACAAAGCATCAAAGTTCCCCTAGTTTATCCAGGAATTACTAACAGGAAAGATCAATCATTAAAAGCTCACATATATATGTGTTAATTCCATTCTCATCTACAACCTTGATGGACTTAAGTAGAGGAAACCAGTTTCCAACTATCCAGTGAGTCGCAGACGTCAGATCCAAGGTTTGAATTGAAACTGTCTTGGACTAGCAGTGACCCCAGGCACACAACAGAAACAAATAAAACCGTTCTAGAGCAAAAGCACAATCCTTCCAAGCCTCAATACAGCCCTCCAAATAATATTCTAAACATTAATTCCAGCAAACAAAATTAATATAGCACACAAAGACAACTCCATTAATGAGCCAGATAGGCAAGAACAAAAATATTAAGAAATTGAAAGAAAAATCATACTATTCACAGATTATATGAGTAGTATACCTAGGAGATCCATAAAAATTCAGACAAATTATTAGAACTTTTGATCTTGAGAGAGGAGTTAGTGGGTAGTAGGCAGTTAGGGTATTCTGGGTCCCTGAGTAAAAGAGAATTTCCCCACCATGTCTTGAACTCACCAGGGCACGTCTCTTCCAAGGGACAGAGGTGCTATTAGCATATCAATTCCCCACCTGAAGTATCGGCCATTACCTTGGCTATTGTGGGAGGGTCTCAGGCTGATCTCTTTATCATTGAAAGGAGTAATACACATCTGCCTGAGGCCTGGAATGTCCTATGTCTGGTATCTCTGTGACCTTTTGTCCCAAGGCCAGGTACCTTGGAAATCAGGAACTTTCTTTGTTTATGGAGAAACATCTTTGAGGGAAACCTTTAAAAGGTGCATTCCCCACCATTAATACGGGTTTTGCTTCTTTGCCTCCTGCCACTATGGCAGAGGACTAGGGTTCTTCTCTTCCTGCCACTATGGCAGAAGACTAGGGTTTTTGGGTTCTTATTTTCCTGCCGCTATGGCAGAGCACTGGGGTCCTTTTCCTCCTGCCACTATGGCAGGAGGTAAGGGTCCTTTCTATCTCAAAGCCCCCTCCCGTCACTAGGACGGGAGTCTTCTCTTCTCAACTTTCCTAATAAATCTTGCGTTAAAACTAAACTGTGTCCGCATGAAAATTCTTCTTTCCTGCGAGACAAGAATTTGAGGTTGCTGCCATACTCGGAGTCAAAATTCCTGCAACAATCTGATTGAGGCCTGAATTTAAATTTAGAGAAAACGAATTATAATTCTATATACTAGCCACAAAGTACAATAAATTTTGGTAACAGAATCAAAACTAGTATGCACCTAACAATTATTCTAACAAAAGTTAGAAACCTCCACAAAGAAACCAAGAAACCCTAAACTACAGAAACCGGGGAAACCCAAGTATCATAGCCTTCCCTAGATATGCTCCACAAAAATTATAAATGTATCGATTCTCCTCACATTGACTTACGATTATAATTACATACAATCCCAAACAAAATCACAGTTGTTCTTGTGTATCTCTCTGCAAACATATAAAAGTTGATTCTAAAATCCATATAGCCATGCAAAGGGCCAAGAACAGAGGAGACAAAAGACAAAGTCAAACTAACAGAAAAATAAGCAAAGAGATGAACAGACTCTTTCACAAATGGGTTTCATTACTAGGGTCAATAAACACATGAAAAATTATCAACCTCATCACAGAAATTCAAAATAATACCTCAGTGAAAGCCTCAATGACTTTCTATTACATAGAATTGAAATGGCTAAAATTTAAACATGAAAGTATGTCAGTGAAGAGTATGGAGAAATAAAAAATTGCATACACTGTCAGTGGGAATATAAATACTGCAAGCCAGTTTGAAAATGAATCTGGCATTGTCTTATAAATCTTGCGTTGTCCGCTCCTAGTGTGCTATTCCATTCCCAAGTATTCACACAAGAAAATAAAAACATGATTACAAATACTTCTACACAATCCTATTTATATGGAGGTAAAACTTGCTTGCACTGTTAAAGATCAACAGAGGTCGCCTCTTAGGAAGCAGAGACAGAGCTTTATCTAAGAGGACCCTAAGGAAATGTTCAAGACAGCACTGTTTTACATACTAATGAGTTTTAGCTGCACACATTTATGCATTTGTCAGAATTAATAAATATACACATGAGTGATAAACTTCATAACATGTAAAATTCACTTTTAAAAGAATCTGTTAAACATCATATTTCTCTTAATTTTTCTGAATTGTATGCATAGCATTTCTTGGGAAACGCAGGACATAGATACTAAAGAAAAACAAATTGTAGACTCTAGGTTGTGAGCATAAGTGGATTCTTTCACTCAAAGATTCTTGCAACTTCAGTGATGTGTGAAATGTTCAAATACTTTGGGGGACAAAATAATACAATGAAGATACCACTACAGTTCTAAAATTAAGTCAAACAACACAAAGGAAAACACAATACGAGAATTTTCCATATCAGGACAGCAGTTTACATCTCTGCTAAAAACATTTCAAATAATTTGTTATCTCATGAATAGAAGTAAATATGCACTATAACTTGGAAATTCAACTCCCAAATATATACCTGGAACATAAATCAGCAAACTTTCTCTAGAAAAGGCCAAAGAGTTAATATTTCTTGCAGGAGGACATTGTGACCCTAGAGGGTCAGCGAGCACAGGTTTACAGTTCATTGGATAATAATCTGCATGAGAACAACCGAATGGCTACCTTTTGTATACCTGATTGGATATCATTTGTATAAGAACAGTTGAATGGACAGAGTGTGTGTGTGTGTGTGTGTGTGTGTGTGTGTGTGTGTGTGTGTGAGAACACTTGGAATATACAAGACAAAAGGAGTTCCAAACAAGAGTATGGAAACAGTTGATGGCTTTTGTTGCTAAGCACAATACCTCCTCTCTTAACCCACATAACCCTCAGTGTATAAAGTTTGAGGCCACTAATAAACTTCGGCTTTGACCATCAGTCAGGGTCCACGTGTGTTATTATCGGCTCCGTGCACCAAATCCAGCAACAATTTCTAAGCTTTGTGAAATGTGCAATCTCTGTCTTAAGTACTTCAACTGTGGCAACAAAGAGTCATCAATTTTGGGTCATCAAATGGATATCGCTTTTAGAAG